TGTTTTTCATACGCCATCCTACAACCACATAGGTGTGAAATCTTGCTGCAGTCCGAGCCCTGTTAATACCTCCGCAGTCTGGGATCTGCAGCCGCCTGCCAGATCACTCCGCCGCTGGAGGAACAGGGACGGCAGCCCAGAGGGTTGCAAGACCGTCTGATGACTTCAGCCCTCCTGGAATTGCTTACACGACAGCGTGAAAAATGCACGCCAAGTTAACGTTGCGTTAACGCAATAGGAGTCATTTCCGAAAATTGGGTTGTCCTCTCTGGGCAGCGCTGCCCTTCCCAGGAACGCTGCCGGGGAGAGCTGGAAGATGGATTAGCCGGGAGGGCAGAAGGTGCTCTGGCAAAGACGCGGGAAGATTTATTTCCTGCTGAATGATGTCCTTTCGTGACTCAGCGAAACGCGAGTGACATTGTGGTTCTGCAGAGTCATGAGTAGATATCGGGGAAAGGAGAAGTCTGCCCTGGCCAGGCGCCAGCCGCTCTCTGCGGGCAGGGGCGGGAGGAGGTTGGCCGTGGCCAAACACCGAAGGCTTTGCCCGCCTTGCAGGAAGGAAGCCTGGCTGTATGGATTATTTCTCCGCGGTCAGATGACAGAGCGGAGGCAAGAGGATGTGCACGAGACCTGGGTGTCCTGACTGTCCTGTGCTTCCTCCTCGGGCCCAGCTGCAGACGTCGCCGCTCCGTCCTTTTCCAAATGCTGATTTCTTTAAAACATAAAGATTGGAAAAAGGGGTGACATAGCTGTGTCCTGCATGTCATCCTGATTTGCATCACACATACTTTACTCTGCGTGCTTCTGTATGACTTTTTTCCAAATACCTTTACCTCACGAGTTATTTACATGCCCCTATAAGCCTGCTGAATGACATCTTTAAAGTTTGTTTTGGCTTTTAAAAAATCCCGAGGACGCCCTTTGTGTGCCATGCAGCAACCCACTGGATCTTTTGTATTGATGGTCTCCAGTTGTTAATGACGCGCTTAGTTAATTATTCACCAAGGTAACAGAAACTGGTTTTAAATTCCCACTGGGCAGCGCAGTCCTGGAGCGTGGCCGGCGGTTGTGGCCGGGTTACCTGACCCATGCCAGACTCGAAAGCAACGCAGGTCCCGCTGCGGCTCTGCGGAGCCTGAGACCACGCGGCTGCGGCGCCGGTGCTGACCCAAACTGTGCCAGCAGCCGACCCGACCTGGCTTGGCAGGTCTGGACCGGGAGCCGCCGAGGAGCCTTAGGGATGCACGGGATGAGCAGCCGCTGTGGGCTGCAGCTGGAGGAGGATTTTGCATCCAGCGAAACGCCCCTTGACCTTTCTGAGAGCTCAGCTGCTGAAATTTGTTCTTGCTGTGAGAGGAACTGCGCCGTCAGCACGGCATGCAGGGAACCACTCGCTCGGTTCCCGGTTCCCCCGAGGGAGCCCTGCGCCAGCGCCGCTGGGTGACGGCGGCTGAGGAGGAATAGGAGCTGCCGCTGCAGATTTTGTTGCTATAAAACCGTTAGCCCTGTGCTCAGGGGCGATCGATGCTGCTCTTTACGCTTGGGAGAGGCAAAGTGCATCGCTGCCGTAGGCAAAGCAGGGTCTCGCTGGGTGGCAGATGATGGTGGTGAGCTGGAGAGCGGTCATCAGCACACAGGCAGGGGAAGGCAGGTGCTTGCCTGCTTTGATGCTGTAACGACCCCAGTAAAGCATCATTTCTGATTTACAGGTGTTGCTTTCGCTTTGCAAAGACTCCATGAAACTGGGCTACAGGGAGAGTGGGGAGTAAAACTTCTCCCCCTTGCCAAGGACTTTTAAGACAGTAGTTCAATAATTCCTGCCATGCAGCAGGACTCTCTCCATGCTGTACTTAGTAAAACGCATCCCTCCTTCAGCCAGGCTGGTGTCCCCCGTGCAGCACGAGCCACGGGATGCTGCAGGGACGGGGACACGGGCTGCGCGTCTCCCAGCGCTGCGGCAGAAGCAGAAGTTCCCTTAAGTAACTCGTCCTCGACTGATTCATCAGCCTTGTTCCATAAACAGGAAGCTGGGAAAGTACAAGCAGGTGATCTTGTGCTGCTGCAAACATAAATTACATCTGATTGCTTGTATTTCTTTTTCCTCCAGCTGCCTGCTAACTCTTTATCCAGGTGAAGGATTGTTTTGTCAGTGAGGAGTGAACTATTTGCAGTGGGAAGGTCTTTCAAGTTCACAGTACAGATTTAGAAGGAGCTTGACTTAGAGCTCTTCCCTGGTCCTAATGCTGCCTGCACTATTTTGGAGTGCTTCAAGATAACTGCTCTCACCATAGCACGTGCCGTTAGCAGGGATTTCTTTGGAAATGCAGGTGGTCAGAAGATGGCCACAAGTAGCTGCGCGTGCGCTAGCTGCCTAACAGGCAAAACTTTCCTGTTTTTTCCAGGGATTAATGACATAAAAATTGACAGTAGCAGTAGTGCAGCTGATGTCCAGCTCTTGCTCAGCCTGCGTAGGGAACCACAGCAGGGCTGAACACAAGCTGCTGTTCTGAAATCCCAAAGAACTCGGAGGGCTGGGGTCTATATAGCACTTGATGCTGAAAGAACAAGCTGTCTCCCAAGATGGAAGTGTTCCCACCTGGAGGTGCTGCTTTTTCATGGAAAAGAGACCAGAGCGGAGCGTCCCCTGTGCCGTGTCAGGAAGGCTGGGACAAGCACCCATCCGCCGTGCCAGGCGAGGTAGCTCATTGCGTGTGGTTTGGCATCCTGATGTGGGACTTCGGGTGCTGGTCGGGCTCGTTGTAGGACTCTGGACCCTTTGGTTAAAGACACGGTGCCGTCTCGCTGAGGCCCGAGTCTGAGCTCAGGTGTGACACCGGCACTGCTAGCACGAGGACATCCTGCTTTACTGCAAACCAGCCGAGTCTCTCTCTTGCAGCATTGTGGCTTAGGAAATCGGGGCAGAGGAGGATCCTTCCCCGAGGACCAGCCTGCTTCCTTCTCCCAGCTTCCACAGTACCAGACTTTATTTCAACAGCGTGGCTTCCCATGTTGTCCTGGTCCTGACTAACGTCTTCCAGGACTCGAGAGGTGGAGATTTCTAAATAACCCTGCTAATTCAGGGAATTGTCTCATGACAGAGGTGGTAACGCTGGCTGAAGCACCGTTTGTTTTCTCCCACAGCATTCGGTGTTGCAAACGAAGCCGAGTGCCATTCAGGGAGAGAAGTTCAGCGCACGTTGCATGCTGCTGCCAAGCAAAATAATCCCCGAGAGTGCCGTTGTGGTCTGGAATAAACTCCCTTAATGTCTAAACGTAGGCGAGACAGCTCGAGTCTGCTAGGATTTTAGATGGGGCAGACACTCCCCCCTCTCTTCCCCCCAGTATAGGCAGCAGTTCAGCATCTGCTTTGAAGCTGCCGGTCCTGAGGAGAAGACTGAAGGAGTCTCTAATTAAAGCTAGCACAGAAGGGCTGCAGTGGGTGGCTGGCTGGGGTGCTGGGAGCGCCGCTGGTATCTGACCTTGTGTTTGCTTTGGCTCTTTCCTCCTCCCAGCATCGTCTAATGGTTTGTCAGGCAGCGGGAGGTGGGAGGTGGTACTCGCTGCAGCCCTCTTCCCCTATTCCCCACCATCATTGAATGGTCAGGGGCTGAGTCACTGCCGGGCAGGGCAAGGAAGTGACTTTTCCTGACACCTCTGCAGCAGCCCCACGGAGATGATCATAAAGAAATGACCTGAGAACCGTGTCTGGCCAAGGGAGTCCGGCTGGGATGGCGTGGCCGGAGCTGCCCTCCGGCGTGCTGCAGCCCTGGCTGCTGCCCCACAGCTCTGGCCTGAGTGACAGTGACGGATTGTGTTGGTCTCGTAGACAAACTTCTTCAGTTGCTTTTAAATTTCGAGGAAGGTTGTTTAACCGCCTGCGTTCTCCCTGCCGGGGTGCCCGGCTGCAGCGCGGCAGTCGCAGGGACACGGCCCGACGTGCAGGTTGCACCCTGCCGGGCGACAGGCATATTAAAGCCCCACGATCAGCACAGCCGGGGATGGGTGCAGAGTTTGGCAGCTGGATGGGGTCCGCGAGACCCCCAGAGACCAGACACTTGGTGCACAGAACGGAGTTGTGCTTCGGCAAAGCTCCGTTCCTGCTCCGCTCTGGCTCCGGCTCACCCTGCGGTGCTCTCCTTGTTTCCATGTTCAGCTGGGCCCTTATTTTGCACCATTTTTGTGGAAGGTTCATTTGAGACATGAGCCATTGGTGCCTCTCATGCTTTCATATCCCCCCGTGTCGGTGCCCGTGCCCCGCTGCCTGTCCCCTGCTTCCATCCAGTGCTTTGGCATCTGAGAAACCTCTGCCCCTTGCCTGAGCCCTGACTTGCCACCTACCACCCAGCCTGGGACCGTCTGTCGCTCTTACTTTCTTACTCTAATTTTTTCAGGGACATCAATTTGCAGAATGATGGATAAATAGCGTAGGCTGAGTTTGCACAGTATCGAGCGTTTCTAGTTACTGCTCGGAGCCTCATTGTGCAGAGGAAATCCTGACGGAGGAGTCGGGGCAGGACGAAGGCAGCGGTGCAACGAGTAGATAAAAAGTGAGCGTGAACATCCAGGAGCTGTGTGTGGTCACAGTTGAGCGGCGTCCCCGTCCACCTTCCCCCTGCCTGGCTTGCTGCGAGAGGTGCATGGCAGGTTACGTGGGCTGGAAAATTTCTGTTCGCTTTTCCAGTCGGTCAGTTGAATGCATCTGGCAGGACTTTCTGCAGAAAAAGTTTTTTTTTTCCCCTCTCGTCGGCAAGTTTCTGTTTGGTTTTTTTAATCAAAAAAAAAAGCCTGAAGAGCACCAAGAGTGCTGCTTAAAGGAAAGGAGAACTTGAAGCAAAATCAGGAAACGTTAAGTTGGTGTCATCGGTTTAGAGCTCGCGGAAGCCCTTTGCACGTGGCTGTCGGGGAGGACGCGGTGCACAACCCTTTTCGAGACGGTGCACAGTGGCGTGGCGGCTTTGTGCACGATGCCAACCCCCCTCTCCCCCTTCCTTGTTTTGCAGTATTCTCGCGTGCTGGGGCCTGGAGCCGATGGCAGACAATGTCAACAACTAACAACATAGCGCAGGCCCGGAAGCTGGTGGAGCAGCTCCGCATTGAAGCCGGCATCGAGAGGATCAAGGTGAGCGCAGGAGCTGGAGCAGCGCGACACGTGCCGCATCTGGGGTGGGCAGGGACGGGGCGAGAAGGGTCCCTGGGCAAGCGCCTTGGGTTTTCCCCGAGCACGTGCATGCTGCTGCGATGTCTCCGGCTCAGATATTGCAGCATTTCTAGACGAGAGCCCTTCCTACGGGCGCTGCTCATACCGGGAGGCAAGGTCGCAGCCTGGGCAGCTTCTCCCAGGTGTTAGAGGTGACCGCGCGATTCGAGGGCAGACCAGCCACTGGAGTTAAGTTCCTGGAGCTCAGCTGGGCACATGCAACCTGTGAAGGCACTGAAGCTGCAGGGGCCGGACCCAGCAAAGCTCTGCCAGGCATGCTCACACGCGTTCCAGTCTTGTTGCCCCATTTTTTCTCAGGATGGCTTCACTGTCCATACGCAGTTTCTCTCAGAAAGTCGCTGCCTGCACAGTTATTTCTCAGCTGCTGCATTCTTGCAGATGGAAAAGGATGGTGGCACGCCTTCACTCTGGTTTGAGGCACGCTTATGGTGGCATGTTTATGGTAGAACTAGGGAAGGTTAATTTTGTGCTGCAGTTCTCCAGGATAGCAAACCGGAGTCTATTTTCAGCTGTGTGCTGGCTCACCAGCAATCTGCTGGGGCAGCAAAGGAGCCCCAGAAATAAAGCTCCCTTTGGCACTGGGGGGTTGGAGGCAGGTAACGTGCTCACAGCCACAGCGTCCCCTGAGAGTCGAGACCGGGTAAATAAAGCTCCCTTTGGCACTGGGGGGTTGGAGGCAGGTAACATCCCCCCAGCCACAGCGTCCCCTGAGAGTCGGAGACCGGGTCCTCCAGGAGCTTTCACTCTATTCTGGGAACCGGCTCGGTGATTGCGGTACCCAGGCTCATTCGGCCACGTGAGCTCTGGAGAGCAGCCTTTGCTGGAGACAAATATTAGTGTGTGGGCAGCAAGTCCCAGCTCTGTGAGCAAGACACCCCGGGGCACTCTCTGAATTTACACCTCTTAAGCCACGGAGGAACCGCAGTCGTCACCCGGCTCTGCAGCCCTGCTGCCTGCATCTGAGCTTTGTCTGCCTTGGTCGGCAGGCTGGGTCGGGCTGCTCCGCCGCCCATCCCTCCGAGAAACTCCCCGGGAGGGGAGGAAGGAGGGGAGAGACGAGCTCCGTTCATGGAAAACCACTTGTCAGTAAGTCACGCAAAGGAAAGCTGCATGCGTGGTGATGGAAAGGCACAGTGAAACTGAAATACTGTAAAATGCATAGCTGTTAAATCCACCTGATAGTTTTTAGTTTAGTTTCCAAACTAAATTAAATTTTTAATTTAGGACTTCTGCAGCAGCAGGTCCTCCGTCATCTCCGGTTTTGATGTGCAGGAGCTGCTGCTGCTTTGAATATCTTTTTTTTTTTAAAGCCATGAGGTTTTGTAGCTGTTTTTAGGGCCGCCACTTTCCAGACTCCAGTGATGCACCCATCAGCGAGGCCATTTTAGGGAAGACAAAATAAATTACAGGTCTTCCCCCAGCACAGCCGTCGCTGACTCTCCTAAGAATTACCGTGTCTCAGCTCCAGGATCCCAAACGGTGCACGCCGAGGAGGACGGAGGGTGTGTGCATACTTACCGACCTTTGTAGCTGTGACTATCTTAAATGCTTTGTTGGGAAAGAACAACAGTGGTGGGACCACAACACGCTGCTATTTAGGCTGAGTGGAGGAGATGTGCTGTCTGGGCGAGCTTTCAGTAAAGCCGTGATCCGCAAACCCAGCTCTCGGGCGAGCGTGCCAAGCCAGCCAGCTCTGTACAGTGTCAAACGAGCACTCGCTCCTCCAGCTCCTGCTCTCCCTACCTCGCGGCTGAGGCCGGCGAGACGCGCGTTTGCCTGCGGATAAATGAGCTAATACACTTCTGTGATGAGGGGAACGGGCTGCCCTGCGAGCTGTTGGCGAAGCTGTGCCAGCAGCGAGAGCGGCGGCGTGAGGAGTGCCCTCCGATTCCTCCCTGCGAGGTCTGACGGAACACCCGACGCTGCGGTCGAAGCAGAGCCCTGCCACCGCGCTGTGATTTTTCTCCTCCCCAGCCCAAGCAGCCGGTACCTCTGCTGGAGAAGGGCCAGGCCCTTTCTAGCGACTGCGTCTGGCTCATCCTTCCCTGCATTTACACAGCTGAAGCTTTAAGAGGAGTGCGGAGGTTTCCAGACCACTTGCTCTTGTAACAGGTTCAGCCGCACTCCCGGCAAGCTAATCTCTTTCCCCTTGCTTTGCTCTGAGATTAGGAGTCATTACTGTTTTATGTGAGTAATAGGTTTAAAGCCGAGCCTTGACCTTGTCTCTGCAGAGCAGTTTTGCTGTTGGATCCCAATGTGTGTGATAAGTTGGTTTAAGTGCAGGCCAGCAGCAGTCGGTGTTCATTAGAAGTGTTCATTACTGGTTAGGACTTTAATACTTAATATTGCAATAATACCTAGAGACTCCCACAAAAGCATGTTGTCTGGTGCAGTCTCTGGACCTGCCTTTCCAGGAGACACCAGGAGGAGGAGGAGGAAGCCCACCCTGTGGGGTGGAAGCACAGATTAAGTGGTTTGCCCAAAGCTGCAGAGAACTGGGGTTTTGTCGCAAGCGCTGTTTCTCCTCCTCGCCGTGCACTCTCGGTTGCTGCTGAAAGGTTTAATAACGACGGCGGGCAACTGCGCGTTCCTACCGGGCAGGTTGCATCGCTCTGCAGGCAGCGGCGGCGGCGGCGGTGGTGGCCGCCGCGCTGGCCGTGTGCCGCAGCATCCTCTGCGAGGCTGACCCCCGGCAGTGCCGCGATGAGAGCGGCAGAGCCGGAGCCGGGGGGAGCGGGGAGGTGGCGTGTAGGTGCTTTTCACCCCCCTAAATCACGGCTCAGCTCGGCTGAGAGGGATGAGCCGCCCTGGTGCCGAGCAGCCACAAAGTTCCCGAGAAGGGAACCGCTGCCGTAAGGCTCTGCGACTACAACAGGTCACATCTGGGCCTTCCAGATGTGGTGTGGTTGCGTCTATGTTTTGTGTTTGCCTTATGTTCAACCAGCTATTAAGTTAATTAAAAAAAAAAAGGGGTTGCCGCTGGTCTCCAAAGCTGCTGGCACCTCCCTGCCCGGACTCTCCCCGTGCCTCCCGCCCTCCTCGCGGTGCAGCCACGTTGCTCGCCCACCACCGCGGTCCCCCCTCTGCCGGGCTGCTCTGGGCTCTCTGTTCCCAGAAGACGCCTTTGAACTAAAATAAGGAGAGCCTTAAGTAATAGTTTCTGATGGTTTCAAAACCTCCGTTTTTCACATCTCAAGCCACTCTCAAGCAGGCTTTTTTTCCTCTTTTTTATCCCAAAGCCCTTAACAATGAGGACAATAATGTCTTCTTTTAAATCTCTTGCTCCCGGCTGGGAGTATTTTTCCCGTACTCATCGCTTTATTTATGTCAGACCTTACAAACTCTCTTTCCGCGTCCGTTTCCCCTTTTCGTTTGTCACCATCTCCGTAAAGTTTCTGTTACGAAAAGCTGAACGCCGGTTCTCTTCCCCCTTTTCCCCTTTTCGTTTGTCACCATCTCCGTAAAGTTTCTGTTATGAACGCCGGTTCTCTTTCCCCCCCCCCCTCGGAGCCTGGGAAGCAGTCGGTGGTGCTGCGTGGGCTGAGCTCTGCACCTTCACCTGAATATTCTCACTGACCTTCTGCTTTCTTGCAACATTTAGGTCTCGAAAGCATCTTCCGAGCTAATGAATTACTGCGAGCAACATGCCAGGAACGACCCGCTGCTGGTTGGAGTGCCCGCTTCGGAGAATCCTTTTAAGGACAAAAAGCCTTGTATCATCCTATAGCTTTCCTCGCTCCGGCGCGTGCGATCTCTCAGGCAGGGCACCGTTCTCCATCGACTGAAACCAAGCTACAAACTTCAACTGCGCCGAGGGGTAAACACTAAATGTTGGATTCAAATAGAACTTAAATCTCAAAAAACAAAACAACACAAAAAAAAATTGCAAGTGGTTTAGGGCAGGGGGTCTGCTCGCGGGCGGGTGCCACACTGAGAGGGGTCAAAATTTAAAAACAGAAAAAAAAAAAAACCCCCAGGGTTGAGGGGTGGGGGGTGGGGGGGCGTATTTTTAATAGCAACGTTCGAAATTGGTACCAGGGTGGTGGAGGCAGCGGGGGGGTTTATTGCATTTGCCAATGGGATGCAAGACCTGAGTATCGGGACCTCGCCGGTAGAAGCTTTGAACAAAGCTCTGAGTGGGTCTGATCCAGTTAGTTTCTAATTAGCGCATCGATGCAAGAATTTGCTCTGTCTCTTGAGAGGGAACAAGGGAGAAGAGTCCAGGTGGGGAGCTATTTTGTAGAAAACTAGTACAAAAAAGAAAAAAAAAACAAAACAAAAAACAAACCAACCAAAACGCGGCTCGAAAAATTGCTGTTGCAAATGGATAAACCGAGGCCGGGGGGAGGAGGCCGGAGGCCGGGGGGCTCCCTCCCCGCGCCGCACGGCTCCGCTCGGACGAGGGGATGGCACCGCGGGGAAACGCTCTCCGGCGTCAGATCCGTCGGCCGAGAGGGTTTCCGTGAGCGGCGTTAGGAAGCCCGAGGCATGGGAGAGGCCGGGCTCGAGCCCCTCTGATCGCTTCTGGGGTTTCTCTGTGCTGTTACCACTGTTTTTCCCAAACGGGACTGTACCGGGGGCGGGGGGAGGGAAGGGGCTTTCTGTTGTGCAGTATCACGTGAGAAATCTTTTAAAATTGGCCTTTTGGAGAGTCGCAGTCCAAAACGCTAAAATTGCCAGATTTACCAGCATTTCCCATCTCCCTTTTTCTCACCGAGAGTGGCAAGTGGAACTCGTTCCGCTAAACCCAGTTAATTCGGGGAGACGAGGGTAAGGCTGTAGAAGAAATAGTTCGGTTCCCATCCCTTGGAAATCTTGAAATGTGATTTAAACAGGGAGTGCTTTGTTCACCGAGGTTAAACGCACGCGCCGCAGAGCCGGGGGTAGCCCGGCGCAGAGCAGCCCCGCGAGGAAGAGGGGACAAGCAGGCGAGCCTTCCTCCCGCTGCCCGCCACGGAGCCCTGTGGATCGATGGCAGCGATGGAGCCCGGCGGCTCCGTGCCGGGGCAGGCGGATGCTTGGGAGAAAGATCAGAGCTCAGGGACGTCCCACCGCGTCTCCCCGCGTCGCTGGAGCTGCCGCCCCGGGTGTGCTGGGCGCCCCGCAGCCGTCTGAGCCGCGGCATCGCTCACCAGCTTCCAGCTCTGCCGGGGAGAGGACGGGTCCCGTGCGTTGGGTTTAAGTGACCGAGCCCGGCCTGCATCCGCAGGGCAGAGCCCGGGGCTCGGCGGCTCCTCGGGGGACGGTGAACGCTCCCCACGGTAGGCAGAGGCACGGTTCGGTTTCCTAACCAGCACGCAGGTACCCGTTCCCGGTTATCCCGAACACAGGCACCCCGTGCTGGTGTCTGAATACACGCGGTGCCGAGTTTCGGTTTTGGGAAGAGAAAGGAAAAAAAAAACAAACCAAACAAACCACCGCAGCCGATGTGAAGTCCTGGGAATTTTCCCATTCCCCCAGTGCTTTGGATTTGGTTTGAAATGCCACGACCTCCCGCTGGGATGGAAGCCCCACGCGGCCGGCCCCTTCATGGGACAGGGAGCGCTTCCCGTGGCCGCGTCCGCCGGCAGCCCCCGGGAGAGGGAGGCCGGAGGAGACCCTCGGGTTCGGCTTTGAACTGAACCGCGCTCAGGCTTTCTGGTTCGGTTCGGCTTTCGGGGAAACGACCGCGCTCAACGGCTGAACCGCGCTCAGGCTTTCTGTTGTGGTTCGGTTGGAGGGAGGAAACCTTGCAGCCCATACTGGATGCTGCGTGTGCTTAGGCTGGTCGGAGTCGCTGGTCCGGGCAGGGTGCCGGGAGGCTTTGCTGGCCGCTTTTTGGAGGACGATGGTGTTCCCGGGGCTGTCGCTGGCTCCCAAGGCAGAGGGAGCCGCGCAGGGCGATGCCGGAGGCCGGCTCGAAGGCAGGGAGAGGAGCAGAGCCTGCGGCCGCGTGGCTGGTACCCGGGGAAGGCGGGTTGGCATCTTCCAGGAGGAAGGGCAGCTTCGGAGGGTCTTCCTCCCGCGGTGCAGGGGTGGGCTGTGGGGTGTCGGGCTCAGCACGGCCGGCCCCTCTCCAGCGCCGACGGGCCACACAGCCGGCTTGGCAGTGCCGGCGGAGGCTGTGGTTAGCAGAGATGCTCCATTTACACTTCTTGGTTGCAGGTATCTCGCCATCACTTTTTTTCAGTACGCAATCACTTGGCTTTTTAAACGAAGTTGGAAAAAAAACCACGTTTTTAACACTAACGCAAACCACAGCACCTCCTGTGTACGTCTTGCAGCTGCTTTTCCGGCGTCCTTTGCTGGTCTGAGCGTTTTAAACCTCCCGTCTCCCCCCGGTTGTGTCGTGGGCTCCTGTCCCGGCACCAGCCTTGTGCCAGGTTTGCTGGTGACCCCCCCCCGGGATTTCACCCCGTCCCGATGTGAGCGCTGGGGGAGGTGGAGCAGAGGGAAGTGGATTTATTTCCCTCCGTGGCTGAACGCGTCCCCAGCCCTGCTCGCACCCCAGCCTGGCACCGCGCTGAGCACCGTCCGTCAGCCGAGGGCGGCAGCCCCGGCACGGCGACAGGCAATGCCTTTTTGTTGGTTTTGGGTTGTTTTTTTTTTTTTTAAATCTTTCATCCAACATAACTTCAAGCTCTCGAACGCCGCATCTGTAGCGGGAAGCGAGCACTGTCCTGAGGTGCGCCTGGGTTTTGCCACAGCAGGGCTTTCTCTTCTCCACGAGGGAATTTCCTCTGTCCTTAATCTAGTACAGTTCCAGCCTTATTTTTCTACTCCAGATTGCTGATTCTTCCTCTATGTTAGAGACCAGTGCATGGTGCTATAGCCGGTGACCCAGGCAAGTGCCCGAGCTGCAGGTCAGCCAGAAAAACCTGCGCTCTGCGTGGCAGCGAGCGAGCGGACGAGGTTACCGCAGGAGCCGCGCGCCGCTTCTCCGCTCAAGACCCGGGCAGGGGCCGTGTCCCCCCACCCCGTCATCGGCTCGTGCTGCCCGAGGGGGCTCCCGAGTGCTCCCCCCCACACCCCGACACCCCTACCCGGCGGGTGCCAGGCCCTGCCTGCATCCTGCCCTCTCCATCCCCCGGGATCGCGACGGGGCGGCTCAGCCCCCCAGCCCCGGGGGCTCCCTGTGGGAGGATGTCGCCGCG